TTTGGTTGTCAGCAGCAAAACTGGTTGATCCACTCTGAGAAGGTGCTATTTGGGGGACTGAGCTGAGGACAGCGCCTCTGACTGAGGAAGGCTCTCGGATGAGAGACGAAACGTTTCTACATTTTTTTGTTGATTTGCTTTGTTTTTTGTTTTTTTGAATGTCCAGAGGACCAGATTTAACTTTTTTAGATATGTTCTTTATTAACTTCTCTTTCAGGACCATCCCTACTTTATTTCAATCCACACCATGGTAAAACAGTTTAGACCCTGATCCAATGCTGTGAGCCTCGCTGCCCATCCAGTTGGTCTCTTGTACACACAAAAAAAACCATCTACCTACCTTCTCTGCATCATGTCAGCCAGCTCTCTGCCTTTGCCTGTCATTGTCCCCACATAATTTAGAGTTGCCACCCTCAGTCCTACAGTCTTAACTTTCCTCTTCTCCCTCTGTCTCCTGACACACTTGCTTCCTCATAGTCTTCGACTAACAGTAGCACAGTAGTTGGCCAAAAGGATGGCCCAGCACAGAAGATCAACATCATCAGGCCAGGACTCTGCGGTCTACACTCATCTCCAGGCCAGCGGTCACTCTTTCAGGGATGAAGATGTGCACATCCTGGATAGAGAGGAACGATGGTTTGAGAGAGGAGTAAAGGAGGCCATCTTTGTGAAAAAACCCATCCATCGTTAAACAGGGATGGAGGCCTACGTGTTCAATTGCCCCCCTCTTACAATGCTGTGATTGCTAGTATCACTCAGCCCTCTGTGAATAGTAAACAGCCATCATTGTGCTAATGATCCATTGTTAGGCTGATGGTCCTTCTTGAGCATGTGATCAGCTGGTTTTGATTGTCAGCAGCAAAACTGGTTGATCCACTCTGAGAAGGTGCTTTTTAAGAGACTGAGCTGAATACAGCACCTCAGACTGAGGAAGTCTCTCGGATGAGAGATGAAACGTTTCTACATTTTTTGTTGTTTTGCTTTGTTTTGTTTTTTTGAATGTCCAGAGGATCAGATTTAACATTTTTAGATTTTTCTACCTGGATTATTGAGCATGCATCAGGATAACAGTAGCACAATTTCCACCAGCATCCTGTTTCTCAACAGCATCAGTGGCAGTCAATTTCACCCGTGCCTGGACCTATCTATTATGGTGTTGCTTTGATGACCTCGTGTAATGGTTTTGGCAAAAGTATTTTACGCCGGGTGCCCTTTACTGACAAAAGCCTCATGATTTACCTGGGTTTGGGACCGGCACAGGCAATACACTAGATTGTATTCTCTAGTAGCTGGCTTTGCATTAGTAAGGGCATTCAGTGTGAGGCCCCTTTTCTATTAGTATCTTTAGTGCTGGTACAGTATGGTTTGACTCGACTTGGTATGAGTTGTGTTTTCATTATACTTTCAGTAACAGTTCTAGTGGGTGGGTTCAAATTGATGTCACACACCTTACCAGCTGGTGGTAAGAACCTGAAACAGGTTTCAGGACATGTTGAGAATTTATTTAGAAGTTTCTGGTAAATTAAAAAGAATACAGATTATTAAAATGATCAAATTAAACTATGTGTGTGTGTGTGTGTGTGTGTGTGTGTGTGTGTGTGTGTGTGTGTGT